TGTTTTTTTCCTTGTTTCCTTATGAATTTAACAAATGTATTTAATATGTATCAATGTTAGGATTTAGAGATACAAATAAGCTCTCAGTTCCTGTTCACAATCTAATTGGACAGGTGTGTTCTGAGAATATACACATTTGTTCAACCTGCCTCAATCTGGTTTCTTTCCCTTCATGTCATTTAAATAACATTGCTAAAGGTAATCACTGATTGTTTAAATGCTAGATTAGTCCTTACCATACTTAGCTTTCTAATTCTTAACCTTTTTGCTGCATCCCATTCTAGATACTCCCTCCTTAATTTTGTTTTCCTTTGATGTTACCTCCGTTTCTTCTATCTCTGTTTTTTCGTTTTTAATGCTTGCTAGAATCTGTTCATTCTTTGTGCCAAGAACTGAACTAAGCACTTTGTGAACTTTCTCATTTAATTTTCCCCCAAAATGCTGTATGAGATAGATACTGTTAATAACAGTTGAGGAATCTAAGGCACTTCACACGCTGTGTGGCAAAGTTACTTGTCCTTAATCCTACCATAGTGATTCAGAATTGGTCACTTATTTTGACAAATATTAGGTGCCAGGCTTTGTGCTTGGTGCTAAGATACAGCTAGGATAAGACAGACATGGTTTCTTTCCTTAGATCTTAATCTTGTTGGGGAATACAGAAAGTCAATAGGCAGTTGGAATATAGTATGAGTTATGGGGTCATGTGTGTTACTCAGTCATCTGTATAATTGGGTAAGTTGCTTCTTTGTAAATAGGAATACTGCCACCTGCCACAAGATTGTTTTTGTTTTTGTTTTGTTTTTTTTGGTGAGAATGTAATAAGTACTGCTATCTCTGGCAGTCTAACATTTGCTCTGAATTGCCTATTGAATGTTACCTGTATAGGTGTTCCATAAGCATCTCAAAACCAATGCTTACTATGTACCCCCCAGTTTTCACTAATGAATTCTGTTCTTGTATCTTACTTTAGTTGGATAGTACTCAGTTTCCCGACCCCAGAAATAAAAATTCTAGACTCCTCCTCTCTTTAATTTCTAAACAGTCACCAATATTTAGTAGTTTGGTGTTCTGTAGCTGGGCTTAGAAATGTAAAGCCTAGAGGGCCATATAGGAAAAAGTGAAGTGGTGATGGGGATTGTAGTGAATTCTCCCTTCAAGTGGGCAGTCACTGTTCAACTTCAGCTGATTACAGGAGAATGTAGGCCATATTGGCAGAATTTCTGACATTTAAAAAATACTGTAATTGTTTTTTTTTTTGATTAGCAAATAACATCCTGATTCAAAATCCAGAAGGGTAAGTATAGTGAAATGTCCCTTCAGTCCTTGTTCCCTAGTCACACAGTTTTTCTCAGAGTCCACCAGTGTTAGTAATATATTAAGTATCCCTCAACAATACCTTATGTGTATGTAAGCAAATTGTACGTAGTTACTAATTCTACGTTGTTGTATAAATGTAGCACCCTTGATACATTTTTGAACACTTAGCAATATATCTTAGGGGTCTTTCCTCATCAGAACAGTTGCCTTTCCTTGCTAGGGCGTAGTTTCCTTAGTTTTTTTAATGGCTGCATTGTATTCTGTACTGTGGCTATCTCATAACAGGTTCCCTATTGATGGATGTTTGAATTCTTCCCAGTATTTATTACAAACAGTGCTTCAGTGAATAACCTTGTAAACCATGGACTAGTATATCTATAGGATAAATTTTTACAAGTGGAATTTATGGATCAAAGAGTGATAGATTACTGCCAAAATAGATCTTAGAGGTTTTGTGAATTTAAACTTCTATTAGCAATATATGGGAGCACCTGTTTCTCTTACATCCTTGTCTTTGCCCATTTGATGGGTAAAAAATACTTTCTCATTGTAAATCTATGTTTCTCTTAGGAATGAGCATGAGCAGGTATTCAAATGGTTGACTTGTTTGTGTTTCATTTTCTGTAAATGTGTTTATATCCTTTAATCTTTTACTATTAGACTTTTTTTCTTGTTGATTTTAAGATTCTGTATATATTTGCTAAGTTAACATTTTGTGAAATGAATTTCATGGAGTAGAATTTATCAATCTTTCATGATTTCTGAGTTTTTTAAATTGAAGTATAGTTGATTTACAATGTTCTTTTATTAGTTTCAAGTGTACAATAAAGTGATTCAGTTATACATATATACTTTTTCAGATTCTTTTCCATTATAGGTTATTACAAGATATTTAATATAGTTCCCTGTGCTATACAGTAGGTCCTTGTTTATCTATTTTATATATATTAGTGTGTATATGTTAATCCCAAACTCCAAATTTATCCTTCCACCCCACCCCTTTCCCCTTTGGTAACCATAGTTTGTTTTCTATGTCTGTGAGTCTATTTCTGGTTTGTAAATAAGTTCATTTATGTCTTTTTTAAAGATTCCACATAGAAGAGATATCATATGATATTTGTCTTACTCTGTCTGACTTAGTATGATAATCTCTAGGTCCATCCATGTTGCTGGAGGTGGCATTATTTCATTCCTTTTTTATGACTAATCCCATTTTGTGTGCATACGTGTGTGTATCTCACATCTTTATCCTCATCTGTCAATGAACATTTACATGATTTCTGATTTTAAAAACCCTTTCCAGATAAGTTACAAAGTAATTCTCCCCTGGTTTTCTCTAGTACTTTTCTGGTTTCATAGTTTACATAATGACTTTTCAAGAGAAGCAGAAATCCTGTTTTTATGTGATATCTTCATAGTTTTAGATGTAGTTACTGTAATTAACATTAAAAAATATCTGGGTAAACATGCCTGTGGCTCAGATACGACACAAAATTCAGTTTATAATTTTTGTTCTAATTCAGTTGTTTCTTACAGTGTGGTCCCCAAACCAGCAGGAGCAGCATCACCTAGAAAGTTATTAGAAATGCAGATTCCTGGAAATTGTCCTTCATCCCTATAGCTCTATGAAGTCTCTGCTTATTTTCAACCCCCATTCCTCTTGCACCCCTCCCCCCAATTCCTCAGGGCTTTTCATCAAGCTTGTAGACTAATACAATATTCACAAAAGAATTAGGAGCAAAGATTTTGGATCCTGCTGAAAGTAACTGGCAACTTTTTATCTCTAAAGCATTCTAGGTCTTAGACTCCAATATCATTAGTCCTCACCTGTCATTTAATCTTCTCTGCCTTTCTCTGTGCTTCTAAACAAGTTGTCCCTTCTGCCTTAACTTTTGTTGGAGACTGTCTCCAATTCTTAGCAAATGGTAGGTACTAAAATGTCTATTGACTTTAATTTTTTTGAATTAATATATTTATATTTATTTATTGGATTGAGTAAACTATTTTTTGTTCATTTGTTTCATCCATATTGCATATATCACACCTATTTTCATAAATTTGGCATGACTAAGAAAGTTCAGATGTGAAGAATTAATCAATTCAGTTCTATTCGTATGTTTTAATCTTTTGGGGAGTTTTCAGTAATGTCTGTGTAGGAAAGCCTTTTTATTTCCTACAGATTCTTTTGTTCTCATCTCTAGCTTTTTTGCTGTATGTGTTCTAATTCTGATTTACTGCTTCTGAGATGTTCGTACTCAGTGATAAAGTTTCCTCTTTTCCCACTGTTATTTTCTTTTCTCCAATTTATCACAGCTAACAGCATTCTTAGTTCTGATTTAAGCTTTAGTGTGCTTTGGGGGCACATTTATAAATGATATATGCCCTTACTTAGCTAAATACTGCCTTTGGGATATAGGTAAAATGATGGAGCAGGTAAAAATGGCAAGGATTTAAATTAATACCAAGTGAATGGTGTCAGTCTGTAGGGTTCCTTAGTAATAACTTAGGTCAGCGCTGTCTTTAAACCTACCTAAGGTTTAATTGTATTATAAAGAAATAGTAGATTCTTCTTTCCCTTTATTTATCAATTTACAAAATAATGCAGTGGTCTCCTGTTACTCTCCAAAGTTGACTAATGAGTTTTTTGTTTGTGTCATTGAGAACTCATGGATTTAAACATAATTGGAGTTTTCCCAATCAATTGTAGTTATTATCTATGCTGATGCTCATATTGTCCCTTCTTTTGGCCAGTGGGATTTTACTGAGGTTGGCTCCTAAGTGTGCTTCTGTAATATTTTTGTAAATTACTATGGAACATCTTATTTATAGAGAAATTGCAAAAATATTACAAAGAACTCTTCCTGTGCTTTTCCTTGGATTCTCCATATTTGCTTTTTAATTCCTTTTGGCATGACCATGAGTAGATATGACCCTAAGTAATAAGTTTTGTCCTTTTCTGGTATGAAATTATCCCAGATTCACCTTTGTACTTCCCCTGCCTTGGTTTAGAATCAGTTCTTTATCTTGGTTCCTTTTGGTGGGAAATGATTTTCAGGAGCACAGTCTAGGTGCTAGGGGTTACTCATTGCTGCTGAGTTGGTCACTGTTTCTAGACTTTTTCAGTAAATACAGCTATGAAATATTTTAAGGGCATTTATTAGGATTTTTCAAAGAAATAATCTGGGAATCTTTGCTTCTTCCTTTTTAAAAAAACAAACTCTTTTTGGTGGGGAGTTTGCAGAATGAGATTTTTTAGGATTGCATATATTGTATTATAACAGAAATAATGCATATTCTCTTCCATCTGATCATAAACTCAGTGCTAGGATGTGATTGTCTTGTTCATTGTAGTATATACTTCATAATTAGCAAATAAGCGTTTAACAGTTATTTGAATGAGTAAGGCTTAAATTTCATAATGTAAGTAAATATTACATAGATCTTAATATCACAGTGGGCATTTAATAAATAAATGGTAGCTCCTTTGTGGGGTGGAGGTAGTTAGGTTTATTTATTTATTTGTTTTCAATGGAGGTACTGGGGATTGAACCCAGGACCTTGTGCATGCTAAGTATGCACTCTACCACTATACCCTGCCCTGTCTTACATTTTTCTTAATTTGTTTAATTTTCTTTAAACAGCCTCCATTTTTACTTTTTTCTCCTTAATTTTGATTACAGAATTGAAGAAGATGCTCCTGCTCCTTCTACCTCTGCAGATAAAGTGGAGAGGTAAGATTATGTACATGGTGCAATTAGATTTATATCTGAAACATAAACTAAAAGTTATATAACTTGAGGGCAGTTTGTTTCATTTTTAATAGATAACAAAACTGAATATTAAAGTACTTGTCTAATTTTAAGTATGGAGTCCTGATGAGATCTTCAGATTTTTTGCATTTGATTAAAATATTAAAATTGAAAATTATTTAATCCTGCTTCTTAAATTCTGCACTTAGTGCACAACATACAACATGCCTGGCGAGTGCTAACCTATTCTTTGAATACTTCTACTGACTTAGATCTCTTTTATAGGGTTGCCATTTTCAATTTTGTTGTTTTTCTAGTTTAAAAGATTTATATTGATCCCACATGTATTTCCACATAACTTACCCATCTTGATGTGACCATAGTTCTTAACCAGAGGTAAGCATAACAATGAACTAGAAAGCTTATCTGAAAGGTAAATGCCTACGTTGCATCCCTAGCATTTATCTGTCAGCTTTGAGTGTATGAGTGTTTTGGAAAAGCTTCCTGATAATTCTTAAGCTCACTGAGGCTGAAAATTACTGTTCTAAATTCTGTTTAATCCTTCTTCAGAGTATCTGACTTTGTTGTTGTTTAGAGTAAGTTTTTTAGGGGTTTTTGTTTTTCATTTTGTGGTCTTAAATTTCCTTGTTATCTTGGCTATTTAAGCTATGTCTTCTACAAATAATACCTAATAATTTGGGTCAGTCTCATTTTTGGGTGGGAGAAGTACTGCTCAGGATTGGTCCTAAACATACATTCACATAATCTTTTTAGAGGGTTATTCTTGGAATATACTGCAGTTTAAAGGCATTAAAGAAACTATTATAATTTAAATGTAGCAGGTATTCAAAAAAAGTTTCATCTTTTTCTTGCAGTCTGGATGTGGATAGTGAAGCTAAGAAACTATTGGGTTTAGGACAGAAACATCTGGTGATGGGGGATATTCCAGCAGCTGTCAATGCCTTCCAGGAAGCAGCTAGTCTTTTGTAAGTACTGTGTTTTGCTATGATGTGATATGTTCCTAATAAAGTTGAGTCATTAAAAAGTTGTTTTATGGGAAAAAAGAATGAAGAGGGAGGGATTTAAAAGATTAACAGTTTTTCATGTATGAGTTTATTCCTGTAACTATGAAACCTACATTATCACCGACCAATTTCAGCCTTTTATTTTTCTGGGTTAAGGTAATTTTCTGGTCACCACTAATTAGGGTGACCAACTCGTCCTGGTTCTGAGACTTTTCCAATTTTAACAATCGAAGTTCTGTGTCCCAGGAAACTCCTTAGTCCCAAGTAGGCCATGATGGTTGGTCATCCTACCACTAATGCTATTATAAGCACAGCATTTTTCATAAATTCTTCACACTTTTGTTATCTGCTGCACTGCTTGGACATTGGTAGTTAACCACTAGGTGACCATATATATATATATCTGTGTTTTGGGGGCGCAGTCTATCTTTAGTGCCTCATAAGTGATTTAACTAAAGACTTTAATGTATTCTGTATGCTGAGAGAAAGTACACATTAAATCTTGAAGCAGTAGCCTTTCAGCCTATGACTCAGTTTGAGCTAATTTCCTCTAAGATACTATTACCAATTACAGTTGAAGTCAGTCATGCTTCCATGTAATTAGTTGATTACATTATATCCAGCTGAGTTGAGGAAGTCTTCCTTATAAAAGGTACGTTTAAAATAAAGCAGGGTTTCAGGTTTGAGGCTCACCTCACTGATTAAAAAGCCTTTGGCTTCTTCAAATTCCTTCTGTTCAGTCAGTCAGGGTCATACTGTTAGTCCATTCTTTTCCCAACCTTTACTCCCTCTAGAACAGAATCTTATTTCTGGATGTCTGCAATAATCTCTTTTCTGATTACTGATTAGTAATTCTGATTACTCTTCATAATTACCTGGGCCTGAAGAGCTGAGGCTCTGGTATTCAGTGGTATGCTAAGTATTTAGGTATTTTTATATAAAAATGCATGGTTATCTTACAGTGTAAAATGTTAAAATCTAAGTTTTTAAGATTTAGCACATAGAAACCCACTTCTTAGCTTATTCCTTCCAGATCGTGGAGAGATCAGTAATCAATGTCCTGCTGTTAGGTGCTTAGGAGGGAAATTTGAGATGCGTTATTCTAATCTACTAGACTACCCTTAAAAATGACCTTTATCACAATACTTTCTGCTTAGTTTCTCTGTTTACTCTCGCTGGACTCTTGGGCTATTAGTTGGTCTGACTTGGCATGATTTCTGCCAGTCCTTTTCTCCATGAAATCTGGTCTCTTTACTCCACATAACATACCTCCTTTTTCCATTTATTACACTTCTGCAATTTTTTTCCCTCCTTCCCTGTCTAGATACTAGTAGCTAAAATTTATATATATATATATATGTGTGTGTGTGTGTGTGTGTGTATATATAGTCCTATCTGTATTTCTAAGCATTGTTTTAAATGATTTTATATACATGAACTCACTTAGTTCTTAAACAGCTCTGAGTGGTTTTTTTTAACTTTTTTTTATTGATTTATAATTATTTTACAATGTTGTAAATTCCAGTGTAGAGCACAATTTTTCAGTTATACCTGAGTGGTTCTTGACATTTCTGTTTTACAGATGGGAAAACTAAGGCACTGTGAGATTCAGTAACTTGACTTAAGGTTAAAAGTTAGAGGTAGAATTTGGACCCAGGCAGTCTGGCTCCAGAGAACATGTTCTTAACTCATGGTGCCTTTCCATGGACCTTGCTCCTCCCTTAGTTCTCAGCCAAAGGACCTCTAACTTTTAACAATATTCTGGCCCATACTGACCCCTATCTTGTATCAGGAGAAATACCTATTAATGTAGTTTGGCTCTTAGATAATATACTATAAATAACTGTAGCAAATTGATGTCTTTTAGAATATTGTGTTCTAATTATATAATGTATATTCTACATCTAAACATATAATTATAATATATAGTATATAGATGAAGAACAGGCAACAATAACTTCATTGTTTTTTAAAGTCCCTTGAGGGCGAGAGGGAGTATTGGTTTCCTATATGGATATATTATGGAAGAAATGTCATTTTATAACTAAAGAACTAGGAAAAATGTTTTAGATTAGATGTTACTGCAGATCTTAGCTGTTTATTCTCTTTGTAGAGGTAAGAAGTATGGAGAGACAGCTAATGAGTGTGGAGAAGCCTTCTTTTTCTATGGGAAATCGCTTCTGGAGTTGGCAAGGTATGTCTTTCAAGCCAAATTTATAAGTAGGATGTTTTGTATCACTTTAATCGTCTATTTAAAACTTAAATTTCTTTGTTTGCTAAGATTGTTGACCAGCTTTGAGGTTTCACATGAGCTAAGTGAGACTGGTCATACTGCGGGATTAGAAAGAAGATGAAATATTGATGGAAGGATTGAAAGGCACTTGATGCAAAGAGTGTAAAGTTATACTTAGGTTTTGAGTTTCAGGGTCATTAGAAGCAGAGATCTTTCCATTAGTGAATGGTCAATAATTTGCCGAAGTCCAGCTTAGAGAGAGAACGTTTAAAATTAAGCACTCTCAGCTAGGCCAAAACAATCATCTGTAACAAGGACTGAATGAATGAAGGACAATTTGAAAACACTGGAATGTGAGAATGTCTTAAAATAAGACTCAAGAGTGGTCTTAACTACTGGAAAGTTGTTGTATATTTTCCACCAGAATTTATTAACCAGAATGAAATATATCGAGGTTACATAAATTAGCACATACTCTATGATTTGTTTAATCTCAGTTCTGGTAAGTTTTCTAATTTTTTAGGGCATTCTGATGATTTATCATGAAAACCTTGCCAGATGTTTTTGGCCATCTAGAGAAATGTGGGTAGATGAGAAGTTTGGGAATATTATGGCCCTGTTGTAAAGGGAATATTATTAATCTTATTCTTTTGATAAGAGTCATCAGTGCTTTTTCAGGTGGCTGGATAAAGGGTATGCTTATTTCCTTCAGTGCTCTTTTAGCTTTAATTTATATTAGAAGTTTTGATCATTGCTTTTCTTCCATGAATGCTTATAGTCTATATTCTCTGTACTTGCTTATTTTTCTATTGCTTTTATAATACAGGACTACAGTTTGTGTCTTACAAAGATTGTTAGGTACTGGCCATGATACCTTTAGTGCTTTCTCCTTTTGTTCTGCTAGAATGGAGAATGGTGTGTTGGGAAATGCCCTGGAAGGTGTGCATGTGGAAGAGGAGGAAGGAGAAAAAGCAGAAGAAGAATCTCTGGTAGAAAATAATGATAACATAGATGGTATGTGGAGTTGCATGTGACGTTTAAGAGACGCGACGTTTATTCCTTGCATACAAGTGATGGAAATAGGGCTCTCCTTATCCTGGATGGTTTCTCCTGGGGTGACACCTGCATCTGGTGGAGATTGCAGGGGAGGTAGCTGATTGCTGAAACTGACAGCAGGCTTTTGTAAGAGGATAACTTAATTCCCCCAATAAATCTGGTTATTATTGATGTTTTAAGTATTACAACAACCTTGAATATTTTTCTGATGTAAATTTTTAAAAGTCTTTGATGCTCAGTTATTTTAATAGCAGTGCTTTTGGAGCCCTTTTACACTTTTTGGTGTCTAAGAAAATTAAATGCTAATTTCTAAGCTGAGTTTGGCTACTAGAGTTTTACATATCAGTTGGAGGCCTATAATGTTGAGAGGAGGATGAAGCTTGGCATCTCTTACCTAACTGATACTCAGAATGCTCAAGTAAAATGATACCTCATTTAAGGAGCTTGGGTTTCTTTTGCAATAAGTTGCTCTGCTAGCTGGGACTTTCCCTTTGCTTTTCTCAAGGGGGCAGATAATTTGCAGGCTGTCTGCTAAAACTTAAGCCAGGCTGTTTGAGGGTTTAAAGGGAATGTATTTTTAGTTTCCATTTATGTCTTTATCATTAAACTCGAAGACATGTTTATGCTTCATGTTCTTTAACCATGTAGAGGAAGCAAGGGAAGAGTTGAGAGAACAGGTTTATGACGCCATGGGAGAAAAAGAAGCCAAAAAAACAGAAGACAATTCTCTGGTAAAGCCCGAAATGGATGAAGAACAAGAGACTGAAATGGAGAAGGGTAGAAGAGAAGATATGGATGTAAGTGAGCCTGCAGAGGAACTACAGGAAAGAGCTGAATCAACTTCAGATCAGTTACCTGAAACCACTGAAGAGGCAAAAGGAGCAGCAGCACCAGAAGGACTGAATGAAGACGAAGTCACTTCTGAGAAGCCAGAACAGGAAGTACCAGATGCTGAGGAAGGAAAATCAGTTACTGGAACTGATGTCCACGAAGAGTGCAGAGTCAAAGGGGGTCAGGGAAAAGTAATTGTGAGCATAAAGGAGGAGAAGCCAAAAGAAGCTTCAGAAGAGCAGCCTGTTGTGACTCTAGAAAAGCAGGGCACTGCAGTGGAGATAGAAGCAGTCAAGCCAGTGGATGTGGGTGGGGATGAGCCAAAGGAGCAGGTAGCTGCTGCCTCTGAAGATGAGCCAGGAAAGGCTGCTCTTGAGCAGTTGATAGGGCAAGAGTTGCCTCCTGTTGAAGAGGCTGCAGAGGCCTCAGCTGCAGAAGCTGGATCAGAAGTTTCTGAGAAGCCTGGGCAGGAGACCACAGTTTTCCCTAAGGGTGGTGCAGTCAATGGACTGTCAGCTGCAGGGGATCATACTCCCACTGAACCACAGACTAATGCAGAAGGACTGACAGAAATAGAAGATGGCCCAGGATTAGAGGAGAATGTCAGGGCAGAGTTGGTTCCTAGCCAGGAGGAGACTAAGCTGTCTATAGAAGAATCTGAGGCAGCTGGAGATGGGGTTAAGACTGAGGTAGCCCAGGGGGCTACTGAGAAATCCCCTGAAGACACAGTTAAGATAGCTGCTAATGAAGAAACACAAGAGAAAGAAGAACAGATGAAAGAGGGTGAAGGTAACCGGGACATGCAAGAGCTTCAGTGGGTGGAGTACATTCTGGATTTGACTCACTAATCATGGGTAAAAGTCAGCCTTCCATTCAGGATTTTCCGTCTGCCTTTGGATTAGGAAAGGGCTAAGTGAAAATGGGGATAGTTTAAGAAGGTTGTGATAAGTTGAGCAAGTTAACTCAAAAAGCAAGTCTTCTTTAGCTGGCTTATGAACTAACGCTTTTACTAACTGCAAAATAGGCCTTTCTGTGATTTCTGAGACTTGGCTAGCTATCAGTAACTTGTTGCACCATACTAGCCAATAAAGGTGGGTGGGGGTGTGTGGTAGGTAGGGAAATAGTCGACTAGGCTGGCAGAGAATGCTGAATGGATGTTCACTTGCATGCCTCTGGATTTTTTTAAAATTTACTGTTCACGTGATTCCTTTTTCTCTGCTTCAGGAAGCAGGATTAGAGCAGTAGAATCCACTGAATTGGTACACTTAAGCAGGCATGCCATTTAAATGAAGGCAGTTAACCCTTGAATGTTCTGTCACCAGAGTGAAAGAATTCTGGTAACTTTCTGGTAAATTTCTGGTAGCTTTTAGTCGTAGGAAGTGTTTAGAGGCTTATTTGCATTAGTTAAATTAGCCCCCTCAAAGAGATAACAGAAAACTTAACCATTAAGCCTTCTTGCTGCTTTCCTCCCTCATTTTATGCTTGCTTTGGCTGCTAAACTGAATTTTTTGTTACTTAGAACATAATAAAGTGTGGATGCTTTGTATAGTATTACTAGTCTAATTGTGATTCAATTTCATCAAGATGTATAAGCCTCTAATTAGTGACTACATAATTGGCACGTCTGACTTGAGTTGTACTATCATTTGAGGATTCTGCTGTCTGTAAGATGCATCTAACGGTATCAGTAACCACAGGTATATTCCAATTAATCATTGTTACTTCATGTAATTGACAAGAGTTCTCTTAAGTATTAGATTTTCAACAACCCATTATCAGTATTTGTAGCTCACTCTGGTAAACTGTCTTCTACCCATGTGCAAGTCCCTGTTCTCCAGCCAGCACAGGCATGGTACCAGAAGTGAATTGGCTAAATAGTAGCACCATTGGGTTGCTTATTGGGCTTTAGGAGATCTTTATGGAAAAAGCACAGAACTGAAATCCTCAATTAAAAAAAACAACTCCCATGTCTTGATCTTTAATGATAGTGAGCTAGTGTAGTTAAAAGCTCTCCTGGCTCTTAAGTTGGACTTTGAACAATAAACTACAGCAGAGATGTCGTATTTCTCCACATTTTGTTCAGAAACTGTTCAGTTGAGTCACAGTTAACATTGTTGGAGCTCTCTTACATGTATTACTTTTGATCCCAAAATACAGTATTGTGTAGGTAGTATTACTCCAGTTACAGTGATGAGGAAATTGAGGCTTAGGGGTTACATGACTTGTTTAGGGCCAAACAGTAGGTCATAGTACTGGAATCCAACCCTCGATCTGACTTGAATGTATTGTTCTTCCCCAGATACCTCACACTGAGGAAGGCAGCTCGCCCCCTCCCTTAACCCACCTCTTACCAGAATTTTACGTGGTATCAGTAGCCTGTAGAAATTTTACAGGTTTTCTTTTAAAATCCCATTTCTTGATACCTCTTGAGCTCTCCATATCCCTCAAAAAGATAATAAGCTTATTATTTTCTAATTGTCATGCTAGATATGTTTGGTACGTGAACGAATTTTAATATTGACCTGAAGCTTAGCCATGCATGCTCAGATGCGCTGCACTGGTCAGTCTGAAGTGGTTCCTGCCTTTATCCTGTGGGAGTGCTAGAATAACCAGAGAATCAGCCGATTGCCTTTACTTGGCCTTTAAGGGTCATTCTTCTGCCTTGCACAACTCTGCCCATATTGTTTTAAAGGCTACAAGGTCAGTTGAAATGGTATAAAACATTGTTTCCCTTTCTCTGAAGGATGGTAATAGGCATACTACAAAAAAGATTCCATCTTCAAAGAAACTTAGAAATTCAAAAAATTTTTTTCTTGAAGAGTGATTTATGGGGAGGGTAGAGGGAGATAATTAGGTTTATTTATTTTTAGAGGAGGTACTAGGGATTGAACCCAGGACCTTGTGCATGCTAAGCATGCTCTCTACCACTGGAGCCATACCCTCCCCTCAAAAATATTTTAACTGATCTCTTTACTGAGGCCTGTCAGTGCATTCCTGTTAATACCTGGGTACAAGTTACCAGGTTGGAAGGTATTGTTTTAAAGTGATGGCTTTCCCATTAACTTAGCTCCTTCTCTACCATTCCATGACGGTAGTGCAGATTCTTCAAGAGAAAAACAGCATTTTTTTGAGACCACTGTAAGAATTTTTTAATTTAAAAATTTGATGTAAAATTCCAAATAACTATACTTTATGCCAAATTAGATGTCATTTTCTGGCATTTTGGTACAAGTAGGAACAGATACCAGATAACAAAGTAGAATACAGATTAACAAACACTTTTGTCAATTTTTCCTGCAAATTTAGAAGATAAAAAAATTTTTTTTTGGGTACTATGAGAAATACATAGATCTGTTTCACCTGTCTTACACATTCTGCTGGAGGATGGGCTTCATTGTCAGTCAATAAAACCACTCATCTAGTCTAACATCAGGGAACTAAGTATACAAACCACTTAGAAATTTGGGCATGGAAAGATAATTGTCTGCTGGTGGGTATTTATATTTCAGAAGCACTAAATTACATGGTCATCAGGAGAAAGGGGAGGCACTTGATAAAACGAGGTTTGTTTTCTGTGCCTGTTCTCATCCTAAAGCAGTATTGGTAGACAAATAAAAGTCCTTTAATTTGATTTCATGACCCTAAGGCCTAATTTCCATGCTTACATTCCCATGGTAGCAATGTTAGAGCTCTTTTTCTGGTGTTAAAAATGCTTAATGAAAGATAGCAGAGGTAGGCACATTATACCCAGTTCATGAATTGTTTGTACTCCCAAAGCCCATTTTATTAACCACTTGACATTTTGAACTTTAAGTGGTGTGTAGAGCTATTTATCAGCAGCCTATCCTCGCAGGCAGTTAACTTTTGTTTGTCAATATGATGAAATATGGTGTTGATATATGGCTGCAGATTTTACCATGGTACTGAGTAAAATAACTGGTACTGCTCACTCAAATTCTGTACATGCTAGAGCTGGCTGGAGTGTGCGGCATGCTCATTGGTGAGAGTTGGTAAGGGCTATGCTTTTCTCGCCACAGCTCTGTTGTGGGAAAGCTAGTCTCTTGAGCATTCTTGCTCCTAAAAGACTGGAGTAATTTAACTTTTGGAAATTTCTTGGCCTTATTAGTATATTAGTATTATCTTAACTGTTTTAAAGACAACAGGGACACTGGCTGAGGTCTCCAGCTGCGTCTGGGAGCTTCTAGCCAGTGAATAAGAGTCAGTTGCTAATCTGTCTTAATCTGAATGATCCAGGTTGACTTTTAGAAGAGAAACAGCCTGTTGATCGTTGAAGGTCTGAACCATAGACACTATAAAATTATACAGTCTAAGTCTGGATTAGACTTGAATTAGACTGTTAACTACTGTTTTATATCCAGTTCAAATGTTAACTGATTTAGCTTAGGATCTGGCCTGTCCTACCTCAGAACCTGAGTTATTTGTCAGATGTTTTTTGGAATCTAGTCAGACAGTATCCTTAGTATTCTCAAAACTGAAGAATTTTTGCTTGCAGAAACCGAGGGCTCAGAAGAGGAAGATAAAGAAAATGACAAGGCTGAAGAAACACCAAATGATTCAGTTCTTGAAAACAAGGTGAATTACTTGTTCAGTATCACTGTCTGCTTCCTTATTGCGTGACTGTGGCTTGCTAGTGTAGGCATGATTATTACAGATGTTTCTTGGTTAGGGATTTGGGACCCTTTATTCTTGCCGAGGACAGACAGGTCTATTTGATCCCAGGGATCCTGTTGGTTGGGACAGGACACAACATATTGCTGCTGTCACTGACATAAAGTGATGATATGGGGTAGACTTTGTAGGGATCCATTCCGTAGGTTTGGGGAGATCTGAATTTTGTATCCTATATCAGTTTTTCTTCCCCCACCAAGCATACTACATTATACATTTAGACTTATAATCGAAAGATGCCTGTCTTGTACTCCTGCCTAATACCAATGATTTGGATATACTTTAGTCTCTTCAAGAAAATGAAGAGGAGGAGATTGGGAACCTAGAGCTTGCCTGGGATATGCTGGATTTAGCAAAGATCATTTTTAAAAGGTAAAATTCTTGGTGCTTCTAGGCTTAGGTTGGGAGCTTGGTGGTTGAAAACAAAGCAGTTAGGGTTGGACAAATGCTATTAAGGTTTCTGATCATCTTTCCTTCTTTTAGGCAAGACACGAAAGAAGCTCAGCTTTATGCTGCACAGGCACATCTTAAACTTGGAGAAGTTAGTGTTGAATCTGGTAATACATTTTCATTTTACTCTTTCCTAAGACACCCCCAGGCCCCCACCTTAATCTACCTCTAATTCCTTAAAATCCAGCTCAATTGATCGTAAACTGAGGGCAGTCAGCTTTTAGTGAACATAGGTTCCCTATGGTTCTTAGAACAGTGAACAGTCTCTAAAAGCTACTCTGAAAGTCTCGGGTTTTTTTAAGTCATTTTCATGTTTTTTTTAGTCAAGGGTCTTGGAGATGCTACAAAGGAAAATGAAATACAAGATAGGGGGAGCATTCCTGCAGAGTGGTCTGAAATTCAGGAGTACTATATATTAAATGTCCATTTGCTTGCTATTTTTCTCTTCATTAGAGAATTACGTCCAAGCTGTGGAGGAGTTCCAGGCTTGCCTAAACCTGCAGGAGCAGTACCTGGAAGCCCATGATCGTCTCCTTGCAGAGACCCACTACCAGCTGGGCTTGGCCTATGGGTACAACTCTCAGTATGATGAGGCAGTGGCACAGTTTAGCAAATCTATTGAAGTCATTGAGAAGAGAATGGGTGAGTGAGCATTAGCTATTTTCATGATGATTTTGATGGACAGTTAAAAAAATGGCTCCTTTTGTGGTATCTATTACTGATCACTGCAGCCTGTTCTTTGTAGCCGTACTGAATGAGCAGATGAAGGAAACTGAGGGATCATCTACTGAATATGAGAAAGAAATTGAGGAGCTGAAGGAACTGCTACCTGAAATTAGAGAGAAGATAGAAGATGCAAAGGAGTCCCAGCATAGTGGGAATGTTGCTGAATTGGCTCTGAAAGCAACTCTGGTTGGTTTGATTTCCTCTTAAAATTTTGATAACATATTCAATATTGTTGAAGGCCCTTTATCATGGCATTAACAGTATTCCTTTTGTTAGGAATCTTACTCATGACTTGGTTTCCAGGGAGTTGGAGGTCAGAGGGAATGTGAGCATTCATCTGCTTATGCCTGTCCAGTAGTATAATGCTTAAGAGGATATGCTCTGGAGCCAGAATGTGGGTTTGAATTTTTATGTGTGATTGTGGGTTACTTAACATTTCTTTGCCTTTCTCATCTGTAACATAGGGATAATAGTTCTGGATGTTAAAAATCTCTTTTAAACCCAGATTGTCTGCCTCTGCTTTTGGCTGCCAGAACCTTAGGGAGCTTTCTATCCAGTAGGGGATGATAGAATATGGAGGATTTAGTTTATTATCTACACTCTTCCCTGGGTGTGGTGGGTGGGTGTGGGTAGAGGGGGTGAGTGATGTTACTATATGGGGGCCACTTTTGAGGTCTTAAATCAGTTGCTTGTATGTGGGTGACCTGGTTGGCTCTATCCATGACCCATTTGGATTTGTCATCTCTTATGCAGGTGGAGAGCTCTACTTCAGGTTTCACTCCTAGTGGAGGGGGCTCGTCAGTCTCCATGGTGGGTATGCAGGTGATTTTTGTCTCTTAATATAAGGCCTCAGTCTTTGTCTCATATATAGCGGTACATTGCTAACAAAGATTTCTTTTTTGTCAGATTGCTAGTAGAAAGCCAACAGATGGTGCTTCCTCGTCAAATTGTGTAACTGATATTTCCCACCTTGTCAGAAAGAAGGTAAATCTCCAGGAATTTCTGTCTTCCTACAGTTTTTTTTTCTCCAAATGATACATGAGAAATATCTTTCCTATTAACACTAATAGTTGGTGTAATAAGATTCATTTTGCAAAGGTGTTGAGGATTTGAATGAAGATAGTTCTAGATTGAATGATCATCTTCTAGCAAAATTCTTCTGTCCTCTGTTAGCCCAAAGGCTACCAGGAAAGCCTGTTGTGGAGGACTGCTCACATCAGCCCAACTTAGGAAGCTGGCAGGTTTTCTTTGACTGTAGTCATTCAGTAACAGAGTCTGTCTCTGGTTGCAAAAGCTTTTTTCTTGTGGGAGAGCCTTAACTCCTGCTTTTGTTTCTTGACTCAAATGTAGGAATTCAAACTTGATGGTTAGCTGTTCAGACCTACTCCTCACCCCCACCCCACCCTTCCATTAAAAGAGGCTGAACTAGTATGTTCCGGCAGACCAGTTTATTCCACAGAGGTTAGGTTGTGGCTAAGGAGACCCTTAGAGCTGGGAATCCTGGTGTTTGGGGTCTCTGCACCATAGGGAAGAGGTGGGTGTTAAGGAATTGCCTTATAGTTGTCCTTTGAAACACATTAAGCACATTTCTGAAGCCTTCACAATCAATTATATCTTTAGAGGAAACCAGAGGAAGAGAGTCCCCGGAAAGATGATGCAAAGAAGGCCAAACAAGAGCTGGAGGTGAATGGAGGCAGTGGGGACGCTGTCTCCAGTGGAACTGAAGTTTCGGAAAACATGGAGGAGGAGGTGGGCAGTTAAGCAGGGTTTGCACTCTTGCCTCATTGCCCCTTGTCCTCAGAGCTTGGGAAACAGTCTTCCCAAGTGCATGTTCCCCGCCGTGAGCCTGTTTAGACTGCTTGAGTACAACCCTCATAAAAACTGAGGTTGTGTGGGAAACAGTTTGGTTATGAAATGTAGGCTGTTTTCATTGACAAATGGATGTATGAGAAGACATTTACTTGGTAAGACCATTTGGTCACCTGTGCTTGCTCCTCTTTACATGTAATATGTGAACACTGACTCTGTAAGCCCTGTTACAGAGAATTTAGGAAATGGCCTTACACTTTGTGGTCACTGCTTGTTTAGTATAGGGAGCAAAGCAGAGTTTAAGGGATCTGTGTTTACTTCCTCTGAGGCCTGCTCATTTGTATAAAATAGAATGGCTTAAACTAGGGTCACTTATGCCCAGGCTCCCTGTTTATCTTCCAGGCTGAGAATCAGGCTGAAAGCCGGGCAGCAGTGGAGGGGACAGTGGAGGCCGGAGCTACAGTTGAAGGTGCTGCATGTTAAGAGAGGGAGCAGCCTTCCTCCCAAGGGAAAGTGTTTTTGTATATAATGTATTTTTTCACTTTTGGGGGATTCTTTTTGTATAACTTCAATAAAGACTGTAAGCAAAGGTTGAGGCTTTGATGATTTTTTTTCCCCTTAAATACTGGCTAAATCTGTGCCTTGGAGCACTCTGGGTTTTATATAGTGGCCAAAGGTTTTTTGTCTCCCCTCCCCTCCCTTCTGTACTGATCTCTGTATTGGAAGTTCTAATCCAAATTCCTATCTGTCTGATGTGGAGGTGATCAAATCAAGTGTGGCTGTAGGCCCTTTGTCTTCCAGTTGGTGCTATATTTTTGCCATTATACTCAACTGAAAAAAAAAATACTCAACTGAACCCAGCTGTCTTGCAAACTTTTTGAGTGGTGCTGTCCCTGGATGGGGGCTACAAAAACTTGCTCCTTGGTGCTACTATTGATGGACTTTGACTGTGAGATGGTAAAAGCTTCCAAGCCAGGCTTTGGATGGCACCTGTCTTTTATCCATTTGTTCCCCAACTGGGGCCATAATCCTGTCCTGGAAAAAGAACTCTGAAGAAAATTTGGGGCAGGGGAAGGGGGAGAAATCCTTGAAGAAAACTGTTAATTGTAGAGAATTGAACTTCCTAGTTTGAAAGCGGCTAAGGGACTGACTGTGATGGACACTTTGGATGTGGCTGGAAGAATCTGTGGGGAGACTGGTTTGTTGAGTTACATATTTGTTATATTTCAACCTTTCTGTACAGAAAATATTAACACTTGGAATTGTTACCTGTCTGCAGTTTTGATTTCTTAAATAAAAATGCTAAAAAAGATCTGTCTCTGGACTTGTGTTTAAAGATCTTAGAGTGGGATCCTGGGCTGCCTGGAGCATTTCAATTGAAAGGTGGAAAATGGCTCAGCAGTTTTGGCTGCCCAGTCTAAGGGTGCTGGTGCTTAGGGCACTGGTACTACAGTCATCCCCTGGGGCTCTTCAGGTGGAGGGGGATCTACAAAGCCAGATGCTGGGGCAAAAGAGCTGGCTTCCAGTGAAGATGAGCTGGACACCTGTGGAACAAGGAAGAAGGCAGATGTCTAGGGTGCAGGGCTAGTGTCAGACCCTTGCCTCTGACCTGACCTTTAAGAAACTGCTATACACCAGGCAGTATTCGGATCCAAATTCCAATACTACCTAAGGGGCTTTAATGATTTCGACACTTTGCTGCACTAGACAGACAATAGGTTAGAACCTACAGTTTGAACTTCCAGCGTTGGAGGCAGAGGATGCTCTGCTAACCCTCATGTCTACCCTATTTTTCAGAGTTTATATTTTGTTTTCTAGAACGAGAAAATGGAGTTTTTCTGGGCTGGTTACTATAACTCATGGCTGCAGTCTTTGGATTTGAACCCTCTTCCTATAGGTGCCCTTGTATTGTGAGTTCCAGGTCAGTCCTGGGGCTTTTGGGGGGATGGGGTGGTCATGCCATACCAGTTTTGGCATAGGTGAGTACCAGGCCTTTGACCTTTGGTTGACACTGGGGTCTAGGACCAGGCCCAATAAGACATGTCCCCTAGGTTTCACCTGTGACCCCTCCGTG